ATTGTAAGCCTTCTAATCACCGATATTTTCTTTCTCGATATTTTCAGCTGGCGAGGACGGATTTGATTCTCTGCGCGAGTTTTATAGTTAGACAGTAATTTTTTCCCCAAAGCAATACTTCGCTTTTACATTTACTGTAAGGTGATCAACATGTTTATCTTTGATATCAAAAACTTGCATGCGTAGCGGCTCTGTCGTCCACTTGATATCATCGATGCGCATGCGCATGTGGGAAACATCTGCCATTCATAGTCAGTCGGAGGCTAATCTCAGTAATCGTATTCAAAACCTGTTTATATTTCTAGTATACGTGAGTCGCTACATTTTCTCAATATTTTTAGTTTGCCTTTTACTTCTAAAAACCGGGCATGTGGGAGTAATAATTTTGACTTATTTAAGCGTAATCCCACACATGGGTTATTCTAATATGACTCGCCAAAATGACTCGCTCCCTCCGATAATGTTCATTATTCTCTTATCGTGCATGGAATCACTCTCAGCGCTACTCTACATGTAGTTTATGGCTAGATTTTTACATTAATTTCGATGACGTTTCATTTTAAGTATTTCACCCTATATTTACATTCATACAATAAAAAATATTGCGTTCTTGGTCAAGATGTGTGCAGTATGTTTGACTATGCTTATCATTCTGTTTTACCCGCTTCACTCGATAGCCTTTGCAAAATAATCCTGGTTTAGACCACGCATATTCATTTTGACGCTGTCGAATCGAAGTGCGATGTCTCACGGCTATGTTCAAGTCAAACTGTGCATGGCCATGGGCGTTCGCATTTGTGCAATTTATTTTTTACCCGAGACAATTTATTTTGCCACAAATATCATGATGTTCTGTGATGTTTATGCCGTAGACGCAGGAAAAATCAGATATAAATTAATGATATTAATTTTGAGCTTTTCATCAATACATGGAAACGTCAGTATGACGACATCATCAACTATGAAACGATTGTCTTTATTCATAACATTGAGCAAAGGCTGACTATTGGCCCGATAGACATCGCGTATTTGTGGTCGGAATAAATCAACCATGGCAGACTATATGCGGTACTGGCCGAAAATTTTGAAGAGAGATGAAAAAAATAAATTTCTAATGGGCATCATAACAAATACGTCTGCTTGGGACTCGATATTTGAATTAACATCAGAGATGATGCATCATAACGATGCATGTTTTAACGGGTTCATTTCATGCGGTTGTTGATCTATAGTCGTGGGTCGTGGGTTTGTTTTCGTGGGTCGTGGGTTTGTCTTTGTGGGTCGTGGGTTTCCCTTAGTCACCCGTGTGTTTGCGATCGTGGGTTTCTGTTCGCAGTTGAAAGACTGTGTTTGGTAAACTAAAAAATATATTGCATTGGATCTCTTACTCTTGCTAGCTCGAGGAACCATAAAAAAGAACATTAATCTGATTCAAATTTACTTCTAGAACAAAGCTAATATAATATACAATATAGTATAGTATCATTAGGTTATATAAGATATTCAAATTATGCGTCTCGCTTTACATCAACTTTTAAGGCCGGCGCACACTAGAGCTATGTGCTTAGCAAAAAGTAATTCGTGGCAATTGGCGTAAGCCAGTTGCCCTCGTGTGCGGGTGACTTTTCAGGCGACTTTGGTCATTCGTGCCACTTACGGCAAATATCTAGCATGTTTGATAATTTCTGCCTCGCGTGCCGAAATCTTTCCGTGTGCGGCAAACTGAAAGCTATCTGCTTATGGATTGTCTTAACAGAGCATGCGTAATATACGAAAGTATACATCCAATATAGCGGTGCAAACAAAGCAAGACGTGAATTGGTGGCTGTGGCCACATTGGAAGACAAACTGGTTGATCTTTGGCCAGAATACAGGTGTTTATACGATGTGAATTCTACAAATTTTAGAAACAGAGAGAAACGGGAATGCGCTATTGCAGAAAGAAATAACTAGTACGCTTTCTCAAACAGGTAATATAACTAGGTGACAGGTAATTGAGCTTTATTTAAATAGGGGGTACTTTTTATACACTCTGTAGTTGAGTGTTGCGTTTTTTTAATACGCCCTGTAGTACATTCAAATATTAGCATACGCACTGATATTCTCCATCCAGATTATATTAAGACTGTAATACACGTCAATTGAATATTAGGACTTTCAATCTTCCTCGTTCGCTCTAATTAATTAAATTACACCTTCCCCTTGACATTGCTCGGAAAACGAAGAGCTGCAGTCACGATTTCTGCCAGCTGGTTGAAAGAAGTTGTATTTTTCGCAACATTCCCGGTTAAAGGTTAGGATTAAAAAATCGTTTGTTTCTGTTCTTTAATTGTTATCCCGAAAATTATTGCTCTAGTTTTGGTCCTGCGTTGAGTCGAGACGTTTACCAGGATGGACAAATCCAGCGTTGTTCCACCGGGACATTTACACCCGGGCGTTGCTTTTTAACACGGGAAAATAGAAATATAGAGAAGGTCTTAATTGTACTACCGGACCGGTTCTATTGTTTTAGCTAAAGCTGTTCTTAATCTTCTGAACTCTATTACCATTAGTATTCTTGTTATTAGACTGTCATGTTTATCGCTTCATATTTGAACATACGAGACAATTATTAAGGCGTGCTTCTAGAGTTTTCCGGCAATTTAAGAATCTCAACATTGCAAGTGAGTGGATGAGACGCGATGAAAAACGGCCCAGTACCATATAAACAGAATGCAATAAATAGTATAGAAATACATGCTGGGATCCCGAGCATCGTCCCGTTCCGGCTTTGATACAAACGTTAACATTCCTTACGCCTGCCTCGTGAAATTAAACTTGTATATTAATGTAATTGCGCATACAACATCTACCACAATTAAGCTCTTCGGTTTGATGCACCTTTGAATGCTACACCTTTGAGCGGCATACTTTCGCCGCTGACAGTTCCGATGGCATTTGGAAACACTTTATTACTATTCATTTTCTTGAGATTTGGTATTTTATTAAATAGAGTCTCACAATTTGTGGTGACAGATGCCCCAGTGTCACATAAAAATGATTTCAGTATGTTACTTACTTGGCCTTGCACGAATGGGCAATTATTACGAATATTAAATGTAATATGGTTAGAATTAACAGAATGCATACTTGCTGATGGGACAGAAAATGACAGGATCTCAGGTCAGAATTCAAAACAACAACACTCGATTTTTTATTCATTTCTTTACTTCCTTTAAATGACAAATCAACTAAATCATCACAGATTGGTACATCTGTACAAGGTAAGGGACATTGTTCTGTATAGTACTATGGTGACTCATTCACCTCCAAATTATCTGCACACATTTTGTTTACTGAACTTAATACATTCTTGGAAACTGTATTACAATTCATCTTTGGAGGAATACCCTCTTCATATAGTACATTGACAGGCTCATCTGTGGATAAAATCAAATCAATACGTATAAGATCAGGATGTATACTTGTTCCTAATTCAATATCAAATGGGAGGCTGGCCAAATCATTCTTTTCTTCTCTATTAACTAGTGTGTGTGATATCAGAAAATTGATCAGATGGATCATCATCAATCTCATCTTCATTGGACAGTTCGAGACATTTCGTTTCTTCACAATTCCCTAAAAAATTTGCTTCCCTATCGTCTGGGTATAAAGAAACAGCAATTAGTTTCCCGACTTCCAATGGAAAGGGTAATTACCAGTGTTTTTTGTTGAGGATAAAATACAGGAGCATCAGAACGAATATGTGAATTATGCTGAGCTCCCTGTGAAAGCTAATGTTGCATGTCAGGGTGGATATATTGATAACCTTGAGGTACATGCTGATAGTGGGGTGGCATCCTAGGAAGATGTGATATGCCTCTTGCTCTACAGTTACGAGCGATATTGTCAACTTTATTTCATTCGTTGCATATAGGTAACCTATCTGTTGTGTGACGGTTACAGTTAGAGGGCACATCAAACGGGTGATGTGTGGGTTCTAGGTACTGTGTCTCTCGCCGTACCTCATCCCAAACTAATTTTGCAAAATGTGGTCTGATTCATGCCTTGGATGAATGATGAGGACTGGCGCCAGTGGTCGCGACTTGGGTTGCTGACTTCGTTAGATCTCGCAAGTTTTGCATGGATAGTAATTATATGCTGCTACATTTTGAAACCTGGTTTTGGTCAGTTTTACTGACAAGATTCTCTGGACTTTTAACAACAGATTCGAGCTGAGATTCAAGCTGATATTGTGCTAAATCATGTGTGCTCATTGACAAGGCTTCTTTTAGCTAGGTTGGCACGGTTTTCGGCCTCTGCCGCACTATTTGGCTGCCCTAGGATAACATGACTTTTTAAATCTGGTCGAAAGCCCTGAATAAAATAGTGCATGCTTTCGATGTCGCTTAATGCGCCTTAATTCTGCTACATAGTTAGCCACAGACTTAGTTCCATGCTGCTTTCTCGCTGACAATTGCTGACGCAAAAGCAAAATTGATGCCGGATTGCTAATGGCCCCTTTATGCCTTAACGAAATTATTATCATGCTCGTGAAAACTAGTATTTAGACAAGCATCCCAATAACCCGCATGCATTACCCTGTAAATAAAGAGGTAAGGCACGTAAACGTTGGTTAGAATCTCACTCACAAAAATTAGGATAGCGTTTAAAATGGTTGAGGAATGTTGTGATAATATCAGTTGGCTTACCAAAAGAAGGTGTGGGCTGGAGAGCTGGGCCTACCAGTAGTGTGTTCTGTGCAATTAGTGTTGTCAATTGCGCTTGTTGCTGTTCTTGCAATTTGAGAAGGTCGGTACAAGTATGGTCTACTAACCTCCCCCAATGAATTATCGGCACGAGTGCGACTGCAAGTGTTCGGGCCAGACACAATGAAATATTTTATGTATAACTGTGGTGTACAATATAATCAAATGTCTGCACCACACATAAAACAACGAGAAACATAAGACTAGAAACAACACATTAACAAAAATTTATCACTACACACTCGCAATCATTAACAATATATAAAAGAGATAATTTTCATTGAATACTGAAACAACATGTGGTTTGTCGCCTATTTCAAGCTAAAGCAAATAAGTAAGGAAATAACATGTACCTGAAACAGAGCCTGTGTCTTCGGCTCGTGCTGTTGCCTCTCACACTAACTTCAACTAATGACTAATCACTATTCACCGTTTCCGAGTGTCAAGTGTCTAATAATCAAGCATTGTTCATTGTTTCACAATGTTGTCAAAATGATGCCCGTGCATAATTGCTTATATAACAACAACAAATTGGTTATATGAAAAAATCACCTTTTGTAGTTAGACTAAAAATGTTTTCATCTCACAGTTTCTATTCAAGGTTGCCTGTAAGGCATTTAACAATGTTTGGTTCAGGTTCCTTCGTTTTTCTATTCTGTGTTGTAAGTTTCTTTGCGATTTTTATATTCTCTCTTGCAAGTTTTATAACTGCCATGTGTGCCTGAAGAATGATGAAGTCTTCTGTCTTACCTCCTTTATCGGGATGATGCTGAAGACACAACCGATGGAATGCTTTGTTGACCACCGCATTGGAAGCGGTCATTTCAACACCCAAATATCTGTAAGCATTTTCTAGAGCTACATCTTGTGGTATTCCAAACAGCTTCTGTGTCAAATAATCAGAGATATAAGCCATCCCTGCGGCACCGACAAACCCACCAAGAATACCTCCTACCAGACCACCAATGGGACCGCATAATAGAAAACCTCCGAGAATACCGCCTGCCATCCCTGCCCCAGTTGTGAACGTTGCATCCAGAACATTTTTGACGCATCGCTTTCCTGATATTTCACCCTTCCACCAACGTGTGATGTTATTTTGGGCAGTATAAGCGAGGTAGACCCCTGCTAAACTTACCATAGCTACCTTTCCGCACGTTTTACTCCCAAGACTTGCGAACTCGTCGATTGCAGACATCAGCACATTACCCCTGGATGCCAATTCTTTTATTGAATTTAATACAGAGGCTTTTGATTCAGTAGGAATGACATTCCAGATCTTTTCCAAATTACTGACGAGTGACAAGAAGGGTGCTGAAAGTTCCGATCGTTTACTCCTATCAAGTTTCTGGGAGCTATCTATGAGAAAGAATTTATCGAAATTCTCCAACATCTCTTCATAAAAGTGATATAGCCGTGTTCGATAACCTTGGTCTATTTCCGCTTCTCTTGCTTCGCGCAAAAGCTGTTTAACACACATTTCAAAATCCACATCAGATTCCAGCTTAGCTTTCAGCATTGTCCAATGCGATGCATAAGGGCGATGAATGTTGTGTTTGTAAGCTTTGTCTTCTTCGTTGAGAAAGAAGACTAATCTGATGTAACTTTCAGGGTTGTCTTTTAAAACTTGCATGATTTTTGCGCGGATTTTGTCTTTCCAAATTTCGTCAGCTGCGATAATTTCAGGCAATTTTGCCTAGAAAAACGGAGGTAATTTGATTATTATATGACAGCAGTGATGTCCAACTAAAGAATGTTTTGGGACCAGGAACCGATGAAAAAACATCGTTGTTGTTGTAATCCTTACCGTAAAACGGACAAAAAAAGGAACCAACAAACAGATATCGAAACACTTATTCGATACGAGATAATACGAGCAGTTATTAGGAAACTAATAAAAGGTTTTTAAGGCCGGCCTAAATGCGGCGGAATTGGCGCATGGTTATTTTTTGTACGTATGACATTAGAATTGTATAGTCTATACTTTCAAGGCGGCCGTCAACGCGCAAGCCGTATATACGTGCGATTTCGCATACACACGTGCAAGTGGAGGCCGACTGGTATGCCGTTGGTGCAATCATATAATTTTAGTAGAATGCATTTTTCGTCGTGTGGCGCTGAAGGGTTGTGGGTTCTAGTTACGAGAGTGTGACTGCTATATAGACTAGTATTTATACATCCTGTAAAACATACCAAATTTTACTGTCCCAGTCTACATAATTATTGTATGTTATGCTGTGCAGTGTATGGCGTACTTTGCACGACAAATGGGTTGGTGGGGCATATTCATGTATTCATGTTGTGAGTGACAAATTCCTTTTGAAATCAATTGTCACTAGCTAGCCTGCTAAGATACTAGATACAAGATACAAGAATACACATGTGTATTATGAATATGGACATGCTAATATTCGAACCTGGCTACGGCACTGCTGCTGTAATAATAACTGAAAAGGCCTACAAATAGTTTGAAGATTTCAGCAAAAAAGTTCTCACCGCTTTTCGAGTTTCTTCAGAAAGCCGCAGAGAAAACAATCGAAAAGCTTCATCCTCATTCAGTACAGTTTTTAAGGAACTCCAATGTGGCGCGTCAACGTCGTCTTGGCACGCTTTGTCTTCTTGGTCAAGAAAGAATAATATATTGACCAAATCTTCAGGGTTGTCTTTAAAAACTAGAGAGAGTTTTCCGCGGATTTTGTCTTTCCAATTTTCTTTAGCTTCAGCCATTGTAACGGGGCTTGTCTAGAAAAACGGATTTAATCTGATTATTATGTGACAGCATGCAGTGAAGGCAGTAGCGTAACCAGTCTGTTGATTTGTCCCGCTATGCTAATATTTTGGTGTTCACTGACTGTGAAAACAATAGATTTCTAAAGACATGAATAATTATAATAACTTTACATAACTAATAAATTTACATAACGGAACAAAATGGTCAGGCTCGCTACGCCACTGAGTGAAGGTATCACTATAGTCCTATAGAATTTTTTGGATGGGAAACTTTTGGAATTAAGACAAGGTTGTTTTTATACTCCAATGTCGCGGCATACGAAAACGTGACTTAATCCCGGTGACCATGAAAGTCCATGTTGCCAATAACGGCGGCATGAAGATCTATGATCCAGTCATCCTTCTATATTCAGGAAACTCAAGACATGGAAAAAATCTCGAAACCCGCCAAATCACATATGTCACAAAGAAATCTGACAAAACCTTCCTCATCAGGGAAGACAGTACCAAACCTGGCCTAATCACAGAGAACTTCTCTGCCAATGGTGAAGCCGCAAACAGGCCTCAACCACACCACACCACACAGTTCATCACCAGCCAAAAACATCGCCCACTAAACCCTGTGATTGCCCATCAATCTCCATCAAAAACAACCGTCTCCGATACAACCATCACAACGCCTAGAGAAATGGCTCATCGACTATTATCGATCAGGAGCCATTCAGAATGATCCACGTCCCTGGCATGAAGCACAAAGCTGAAGATCGCTATGTCTCGCTCTAAAAATTCCCGAAAAGCGAAAAGATTTCAATTTTAGAATCAACATCCGTGATTTAGGAATACTAAGATTTGCTTCTACAATTAAACGAGAGATACCTGTATGTTGAGGTTTGATGTGAATTCTACAAACTTGTAGTGCAGGAACAAGGGGATCACATGACTTGAGATTGCGTATTAAGCACCCAGCATTCAGTTTTAAAAGAATATTGTGCAGTGTTCCTGCACTACAAGTCAGTAGAATTCACATCAAACTTCAACATACAGGTATGTCTCGTTTAATTTTAGAATTCTACTTCCTTGTAGCTACATCACAAGGAAATCGCATGAGACTTCAAAGCCTAGAGAGCAATATATAACAGAACCAGCTGTGAAAATTTATTGAATACAGAATTTAACTTGGTATAAGAGTTGGTGATAATGTGGGCAGCTTTGTCTGAAATTCCTTGGAGTTTAAGGGATTTCCAGACAAGTGACAGACCAGGAGTTGTAATTTCTTGTGTAGAGGATGCTGTTTCATTGGCTCGTGTTTCAGGTAAAGTAGATGAGGGCTTTTCGGCAACAGACAGGGTGCTCGCACTTGTATTGTCATTATTACCGGGTACCATAGTGGCACAACGCACAACTACAATGCCCTCTGCACAATCCTCCCTGACTTTCTGTAACACCCGCGTTATTAGGCTGAAAGGAGGGAAAGCATAAAATAGTTTATTAGCCCAATTTTGGGTGAATGCATCAACAGCAAAGGCCCCTCTGGGTCTTGGTGCCATGACAGATAAGTATCTACTTTGTGATTTAAGCGCGAGGCAAACAGGTCTATTTCCGGTGTAAAAAAATTTTCACATAGTTTATCAAATAATGTATCGTTTAGGGACCATTCTGTTTTTTCATCAAAAACCCGTGAGTGCCTGTCTGCCTCTGTATTTTCAATGCCAGGTATATGTATTGCTGATACCCAGATATTATGCTCCGTACACCACAGCCACAGCTGTCTTGCTGCCCGGTTACATTTACTAGATTTATTGCCACACATGTTATTGATATAAGTGACAGCGGTTGCGTTGTCTAGCTCTAGCCTAACATGTATATGTGGGAGCTTTTGTTGCAAAATGCTTGAAGAGCAAAGAATGCAGCTGCGGTTTCGAGATAATTTATGTGACAGGCTGCTTCCTGTTTAGTCTTTTGCCCTCCAGCCTTTGTATTATTGCGATGTGCCCCCCAACCCAGCAATGAGGCATCCGATTGAATTATTATGTCAGGTGGGTGGGGTAAAATAAACTTTTTTTGCTGAGGGAGCATAAGCAACCCACCATCTTAGGTCATTTTTGGCGTCTAATGAGTATGACATTGTTGCCACAGAGTTTCCCTTTTGTTGCTCAAGAGCTCTTGTTTTTTCCCTGTCTAATGCCCTATAAAACAGCTGAGCAAGTTGGATAGCTGAGAAACTAGCAACCATGAGCCCAATAACTTGGGCCACTTGGTACGGATAGATGGTTTATCCATCTTTAATAGCATAGAGCATGCATTCACAAGTTTTTTGTGCCCTCAGAGTCAAAGAGATGGTCATTGCTAATGAGTTCAACACAAACCAAGATTAATTCATGGGTAGGTTCAACTACTGCATGACTTTTCCTCATGGGAAACCCAGGTTTTTAAAGATAAAAAGGGTAGCTGACACATTTTCTTGATAGCTTTTGTACTCATCACCCTGTAGGTAAGAGTCATCAATGTAACCAAACACAATGTGCCCCAAATTACGAAGTGTGGCATACACTGGTTTCAAAAGCTTTGTGAAAATTCGTTGGGCTGATGCTAAACCATTGGGCAGGATTGTAAATTGGTATAGTTTCCCCTTCCAAGAAAACTCTAAAAACTTTTGATAATCTTGGGCAACTGATACAGAGTAATTTGCATCCTGCAGGTCTACAGATGCCATAAAACAGCCCTTTCTCATAAGTTGTACTGCCGTGTGTATAGATAGATTCCATCTTAAATTGATGATATGCAACAAATGCGTTGAGCTGCTTTAAATTGAGGATGAGTCGATAAGACCCATTTGGTTTGGGTCGTAGGAAAATGTTTGAGACAAACTACCCCTCCTCAGGATGGGAAGCTATAATTACCCCTTTTAACAATAATTTTTTAATTTCCTTATCCACTGCATTTGCTTCATTTTGCCCCAAGACTGGCTCCTCTGGGCAATAGCTCTGGTAGGATTATTGGGTGAATTCAATATTTACACCTTGGATAGTATCAAGTATCCATGGATCTGTGGTTAGTTTTTCCCAGGCCGTCTTAAAAAAATTATTTGACCGTGGCAGTCCGAAGCGTAGCGGTATATTAGAGGCAATAACCTTTTTTGGAAGCTTCTCTGTTACTGTTGTGGCTTCCGATTGCCTCCTTGTTTTCGTCGGAAGTTGTTCTAGGGCCGAGACTTCCCCTGCTCGTTTTTTTGAAACCGATAGTGTCGGCGGTATTTTAGTTATATCTTGGCAAGTCTTGGCTAATTCATCTCCAAACAGCCAGCTTGTTATAGGTACCTGATCATTGCAAATTTGCTGATATTGCTGGTTGAGATCAAGTTTGATCACTTCCCTTCGTCGCTGGTTTAGCTCTCCAGGCTTGTGCATAAATTAAGGTTAGAGCATCAAGTGCCTGTTTCACAATTGATTCTCTGTTCTCATTTGTTACCTTTTCTGGCAGTGGGAGGAGTGTATTTGTCAACTGAGTTAATGGCATTAGCCCTTTCAGTAATAATGCTTGCACTTTTCGCATTCGAATATCTTGTGAGGGTGTATAGGAAGCAGTTGTTGCCAAATCTCCGAGTTTACTGCGGTAAGCACCATAGCCTCACAGTTTTTCAGCCTGAAATACAAATTTTATTTCTCCCGTAATTTTTCTTCAGTCAGCCTCGTACGCAGGAGTTTATCCACAACCATAGCTAGATTTTCGGTAACTTCGGGCCCACACTTTTCCTCGCTCAATTCATTCGCTATATATCATTGCTAAAACCGTTGATTGTGACAAATTGTTGGCAGGCGAGTCTTTCGATTGTTGATTTGAGGCACTGATGAGTTCATTTACATCCTTAGTTAATTCATCCTCAGACAGCGCCTGTTTTTTTGGAGCGTTTTGAGGCCGATGATTGTTTGCCTCCATAATCTGACTCGGAACCGGAAGAGCGACTGGACGAACTCAAGTTTTGGCGGGAAGCCTTTTGTCTTGCTTTCAAGATTTTACCGAGGTTAACAAAACCTTCTTGGAGGCATTCTGTCAGCTTAGAGAATCGCCCATCAATGCTGGATTCTACCGTTTTCACTTAGGCAGCAGGTCGGATCTCTTTTTCAGAATAGTTCTGACCAGTGGGAGCGAGACATTCGTCGAAATCGGCTCCTTCAAGCAATCGCTGCTCATCTACCTCGTCTGAGGCGTTCATGTCCAGATCAAAGTTGGCGATTTTTTTATGTATTCGCGGCAATTATTACTCAACAAGCGGTAAAATTATCGACCCTACCTGTTTCGAAAACCGGCCAAATTGTTGGCAGGCTTCTCAATTCCAGTTTCAAAGAATATTTATAGTTTTTTAAGGGACACAGATTTTTCTGTGACCAAGCGAAACGCCAGGATAAGCACGCACTGAATGCTGGGTGCTATGATAAGCCACGGTTTGCCTTATTGGTGATTGAATATATTAGAAGGAAAAAATTTGCTTTGCGCGCTGCATTGTGGTAGCTCTTAAACATTCTTTCACTTGTACCTGCATGCAGTGCGGTCGGATAACGACGGCATATTTTCAATATAAAGAAAACATACTACCTTTGATGATTGATAAATCATCACAACAAAGCTAGATATCAGGCGAAACCTCACCCTTTGGTCTGTCACCCTGGAATGGGCCATAATAATGTTTATGATCCTTTGAAAACACGCGGAAACTGGCGAATTTAATCGCTGAAATATCACTTGTTTGCTCAATCACTTCTGTCTCAAACAAATTGTAAAGATACCTGCGGTAAAGAAGCTATCTTGGATCTTATACTAACCACCATGCATAAACATTACAACCTGCGCGAATGTTTCCCGGGATTTGGCCTGTCTGTTCATAACACTGTTACTGTCACCCCGAAAAATACACCACCGAACTCTAACACTAAGAAACAATAACAATTCGAGAACAACGAGCAAGCCGTAAGATGAAATGGGTAGATATCTGAGTACGATAGACTGGTCCTCCTTATTTTCCTCCTTGGATACTTGCGATAATATGTGGAATCTCTTTTATTATATATAGTGCAACTGGGACTTAATATCCTGATGCCAACAAAGCAAATTCGCATTCATACAACAGATACATCATGGATGAATATCCATCATGTGTGGTGGGGTGAAATCAAGCGTTTAATTGGTATGAAGGCGTCAAGTGCTAATATATTAAGTCAAGTAAATTTTTAAAGATTCTCAAACCTAACCCCACAAGAACAAGCAAACACCACCAATACTGCATGCTTTCTCGCACCACTTGAAGAATACAAATCTTCCACTCCCCTTGAACGCCTTCCATTAGAAGATTCGGCTAAATTTTAAGAAGTTACCGGGGAACGTGTTCAAAAGTTTTTATAGCAAAGCTTTACCCTTGTAAGGCCTGTGGGCAAGACCAAATCCGGTCTCGTGAAGGAATATTCATATATTGTTGCTTTTCTTATTACGACAATTCTTAATTCATTTTACAGTAAACAGCTGATACCTGTAACCTGGAAGATGGCAGATGTATCCCCATTACCAAAGAAGAAACCAGTAAGAATTCTTAAGACCAATATCCCTCACATTGTGTGTAAATTAAGTAGCAGAGGAGTTCATCGTAGAAGATTATGTAAAACCAGCTGTTTTAAACGTGATAGATCAGAGCCAGTAGTACAGTGCGATTCCAAAGTCGTAAACTACCATGGCATTGATATGCATGTTACATCACATGTATTTAGAAACTGATGGGAATAGTGCGACCGTAAGAACAACTCTATTCGACTATCGAAAAGCGTTCGATTTAATTGATCATGAGATCCTTATCAGAAAAATTAGTACTTTGAATCTAACTCGGAGCAGAATCCAGTAACACTAGAACCATTAAATGTAAATGGGAATGAAATCGAAACTGTTGAGAGTGTCAAATTACTGGGGGTTATACTGAGTAATAAACTTACATGGAACGCTCATATCGAAGGAATCACCAAGAAAGCCAATAACAGATTATACTTTTCTGTTCAGTTAAAGAGGTAACAATTGCAGATTTGATATTATTTTATACATCGTGTGTTCGAACAAGCATAGATTATGCTGCACCAGCTCTCTATCACGCCCTTCCGAGATATTTTAAGAATGACCTTGCATGTTTGGAAAAAAGAGCGATAGTAATTATAAAGCCAGGAGTGGATTATGGTCCATGATCAGCGTGTGAAACTTGAATGTAAGACCAATGGAAGAACATCATAACCTTTTATGCGAGAATTTGTTCAAGAATATAGTCAAAGATGCCACCGTTACATCAAACGTATCTTGACCTTAGAAATGAAGGCAAATTAATTTAATATACCACACTTTTATTCTGATCGTGCCAAGAAATCTCTTATATTTAAGATAGCAGCTAAAACGTAATTGTATTATTTTAATAAATAGTTAGACTCAAATGTTTTATAGGTAATTTTAAATTTTGTAAATATTACGCTTTGCCAATGAAAAGAATGGATTTTTCTGCTAGTCGTGTGGCCCTGATGCGTCGCGGGTTCTAGTTACGAGATTGTGTTACCGCTAGACTAGTATTTAAATCCTGTAACACGTACCACATGAAGTGCATGACTAATTCCTTTTCGATTGTTTTTAGTCTGCTAAGATACTAGATACAAGATACAAGATTACCGACATGAATATAAAATTATGGGCCTGCTAATATTCGATGCTGGCTACGCCACTGCTGCTGTGATACTAACTGAAAAGGCCTACAAATAGTTTGAAGATTACAACAAAAATGTTCTCACCGCTTCCCGAATCTCTTTAGAAAGCCGCAGAGCCAACGATCGAAAAGCTTCATCCGCCTTTAGTACAGCTTTTAGGGATCTCCAATGTTGCACGTTAACGTTTTCTTCGCACGCTATGTCTTTTTTGTCAAGAAAGAGTAATATATTGGCCAATTCCTCAGGGTTGTCTTTAAAAACTTGGTAGAGTTTTTTGCGAATTTTGTCTTTCCAATTTTCTTCAGCTTCAGCCATTCTAAGGGGATTTGTCTAGAAAAACGGAGTTAATATGATTATGCGACAGCACGCAGTGAAGGTATCACTATAGATTTTTTTTGATGGAGAAGTATGGGAAGAAAAGATTGTTTTTATACTCCAATGTCTCGGCCTACGAAAATATGAGTAAATTTCGGTGACCAGAAAGTGCATGTTGCTAATAACGGCGGAATAAAGATCCTTGATGAAGTCTATACTCTGGACCTTCAAAACATGGAAAAAATCTCGAAACCCGCCAAATCACATACGTCATCAACCAATCTGACAAAACTTTAATTTCCTCAGCCGGGAAGACAGTGTTGAACTTAGCCTATAATCATGCACATGCAGGGAACATGGTGAAGCCATAAATGAACGGGAGATACAGACTCAGAATGATCCACGTCCCTGGCATGAAGCACAAAGCTGCAGACGCTATGTCCCGCCACCCAAACGACTTCGTCTCTCCGCGGCCGGTTGTATGAATGCCAGTATATAACTTATCAACGGAATAGTGTCTGATTTTTTCGTTCAAAAATGCTCGAAAAGGGATAAAATTTCAACTTTAAAATCAACAATTATTAAAGAGGATCCTTGATTTAAGAATACTAAGATATAATCAAGATTATAGCAAACAACTGGCGATCTTAAAGCTTTTCACAATTCTTATGAAAGTATTCTTCATGGATCTTTTTTTTTGTTTACGAGGTGCGGCTTGTCAATGAAAGGAATGATTTTTCTGCAAGTCGTGTGGCGCTGAAGGGTCGCGGGTTCAAGTTACGAGAGTGTGTTACTGCTAGAGTAGTAATTACATCCTGTAAAACATACCACATTTTACTGTCCCCAGTCTACATAATTATTGTATGTCATGCTATGCAGTGCATGGTGGAGCATAATCATGTATTCATGTTGTGAGTGACAAATTCCTTTTGAAATCGAATGTCTCAGTTTGGTTCGCTAAGATACTAGATACAAGATACAAGATTACACATGCATGGATATATGAATATGGATCTGCTAATATTCGATGCTGACTACGCCACTGCTGCTGTGATACTAACTGAAAAGGCCTACAAATAGTTTGAAGATTTCACAAAAGTTCTCACCGCTTCTCGAATTTCTTCAGAAAACCGCAAAGCAAACAATCGAAAAGCTTCATCCGACTTCAGTACAGCTTTTAGGGATCTCCAATGTGGCGCTTCAATGTTGTCTTGGCACACTTTGTCTTCTTTGTCAAGAAAGAATAATATATTGACCAAATCTTCAGGGTTGTCTTTAAAAACTTGAGAGAATTTTTCGCGGATTTCGTCTTTCCAATTTTCTTTAACTTCAGCCATTGTAAGGGGATTTGTCTACAGAAAGACGGATGTTAATAATAAGAGTTAATCTGATTATTATGTGACAGCATGCAGTGAACCTTGGAAGGTATTACTATAGAATTTTTTGGGTGGGGAACTATGGGAAGACAAGGTTGATTTTATATTCCAATGTCTCGGCCTACGAAAACATGAGTTAACCCCAGTGACTATCAAAGTGCATGTTACCAATAACGATGGCATAAAATCCTTAACGAAGTCATCCTTCTATACTCAGGAAACTCTCGAAACCCGCCAAATCACATACGTCACCAACGAATCTGACAAAACCTGTCTCAGGCGGGAAGACAGTACCGAATTTGGCCCGTAGATCAACCACAGGTTTCCACCCCACCACTCAGTTCATCACCAGTGTTATGAGATCAGTGTCTTTTTATCCGCCTGAACCTACGCTCACTCTGCCTTGCATATTAATTCTCAATATCACGCTCAACCTCATCCAATAATCATTTAATATTAGCAATTACATATCGGTTTGATTCAAGGTTGTGTTCATTATCCCTGCTAGTATTATTGGCAGAAGTCAAATTCCTATATGCTGTGACAGACGTCTTGTTGCTGCCGCAGCGAGCGAGCCTGAAGCGAGCGAGCAAGGCAGCAGATCCTAATTTAGAAATGGGGGCGCAAATCAAAATTTGTCTTTGGCGCATTGCATGACGGTACCAGTGGCAGGGATGGAGGAACATATTTTATTTTGGGGGTGGCTGAATTTAAGTTCCGGCCATAGTTGACACGCTGAGAGCATATGTTATGTAGCGTGAGAGAGAAATAATTAACATTCACCTGAACACAATGTAGGATATTTCTTTTGTATTTTAGCAGGCAAACAGCAATTTGACGACCTTATTGTTGACGACCTTATTGTTACACGTTTGTGAAATTCTTTCATGTATTTTGGGGAGGGCTACGATTTTTACCTTGCGCGGTGCGGTGCGTGATACTACGCAGGGGCGGCGCCAGCCGCCCAAGCGTGGGGAGGACTTTTCGACCGCCGAAGGCGGGAGAAAACTAGGGGGGTCCGGGGGCATGCTCCCCCGGAAAATTTTGAAATCTAGAGTCTCTTAAATGCGTTTTCCTGCGTTTTGGGAAGTCTTTTTTTCTGAAAACCTATGCCACTTAAGCCTAAAAATAAGATGACCAGCTTTCTACAAAGAGTCAAGAATGAGTTAAAACTTTCACAAAACGTTTAAAACTGTATTGAATTCACGTTATATGTAAGTAAATAAGATATGATCTACATAAACAATTTAAAGAACAGAGTTTAAGTGCATAGTCGTATCCATGTCTACAGTGGAAGCTTTCGAGGCTTTGCCAGCTTAAATATTTCCACTAATTTGCTGAGTTCTATATTTGCTGCCACATCTCGTTCACAGCTTATCTGGACTAGATCCTAAAGTCTCTCAGGTGACATGGCAGCTCGCAAATAATTGTTTATAATTTTTACTTTGCTATGTGTGCGCTCACATGATGCCACTGTTACTGGCAAGGTAGCCACGATCTTAATGACTTCGAACAAGTCGGGATAAAGATGGTGTAGGTCATCATCGCTGAAAACATCGAGCAATGAGGGCAAACAGACCCAAGGTGTAACTGGAGAATTTTCATTGAGGCCTTTCTCTTTTCTTTCCTTTACTTGGTTCTTGTGTTTTTTGTATGCATTCTTCCAATCATCACACTGCTTCGATTTTGAAAATAGTAGGAATTGTTGACCAACACGATGACTGCTACGCTTATAGAACTGAGCTATCTTCTCAACTTTAGGGACATTTTCTTCAGTTAGGTTTCGTGGATGGAAGGTTGCAGAAAGACTAATCATTTCACACGCTGTTTCAGAAAAGCGTTTGTTCAGCTCACTTTGTATCTTGTCCAAGAAAGGAAAATACAGTTCTCTTTTAAAACAATCTAACGCTGATTCGCCATCTGGTGGTTGTTTTGCAGAGTAGACATATCTAAAATGGATTGGCCATCAGCAAGGTGGGTGGGGAGTCTTCGGCGGCGTTTGGTTTGCGAGGCTGTTGGACTTGCATCACTAAAACTAACATCAAGGACTTCGCTGCCCCATTTTTCGGCAAATGAATTGGCTTCTTTTATAAACAAGTCGAACTGTTCATCAGTGCGAAAAGATGCAATCGTTGCTTTCAGATCCTGAATAGCAGTAACTCCTGATGTTAGATCCATGTCTTCTCTCTGCAAATATTCTGAGGCATGTGTGCTAAGAGAAAAGCACTTCACTAAGATTTGGCATGCAGCTACAAATCGAAAGGGGATTAAACGCACAAGTAATCCGGTTGCAACGCTGTCGTTGTTCTGCTCAGACTCTTCCTTGAACATAGATAAAAGTGCTGGATATACATTCATCACAACTTCCAAGTTATCAGTGCGCGCAGTCCATCTGGTATCAGAAAATGAGTGCAGAGCAGTCTTGCCTGAGGTAATGCCGTTCGCTTTCAAATGGTTTTCATATCTTTTGTGACTCTTAGGCGACCCTTCCATATAGCGATAAATGTCCCCGATTGTCGTAAAGATTTCTTTGACTAAAGGAATCGTTTCCACACTTTGTTCAAGAACAAGATTAAGCTTATGGGCAAAGCAATGAAAATAGATTGAAAATCAGCTCCAGCTTCCGTCAAATGCCGTTGCACTCCCTCGTCCTTGCCGGACATATTTGCAGCACCGTCAAAGCCTTTACCAATGAGATCTATTAATGAAAGTCTGAGGTCTTTCATAATGTCTACGATCACCTCAGCTAAAGAACGCCCCTTTAAGCTGGACACCCTCACAAGCCTGATACACCTCTCAGTTATCTTAAAATCCGTTACATATCGCAATATAACGGACATGAAGGCCTTTTTGTGAGAGGTAACCTCATCACACTGGATGGAGAAATATTTTGCCGATCGGACTTCATTACAGACGACTTCAGTAATGAGGTTGCTAAGAATACTGATCATCTCATTTTGACTCACATGGGAAAAATACGAGACATTCTCGGGATGCGTATCCATCCATTTCCTCAAGGGGGCGTGGTACTTGGAAAGAAATTGAAGCTCTTCAAGGAAATTGCCTTTGTTTTTTGAATCATACGACTCGTCATGACCACGGAAGGACATATTCTGTTTAGCCAAATGTCGAACAACGTCGAAAATCGTTTCAACGATTTCTCGGTTTTCTTTTCTCTCCTGCTCCTTTCTTTCTCTTACTGCTTCCGCTTCCCTGTTCAATTGCACGTCGATTGGCGTTGCTGATTTGAATGAATGAATGCGCTCTGTTGAAAGCGTATGCATCCGCGAGTTAGCATGTTTGCTTAGCTTTCCCTTTTCTCCGGTAGCATTCTTCCAATTTCTGAAGCCAGTCTTTGTGAACGCATCATCCGAACTGCCGACTGTAAGAATTGGTTATATCATGCTTAAATAAGTATCGTGCTTAAGTATTCGCAGTTGCGTGATTCGGGTACTTGCGTGATTCGCGTATAGCATAATTGAGAGGATCACACTATATACTGTATTAATACTGTATACATATATCAACATAATAATCTTTTTTTAATATCACAAATATATATAAATATGTATATATAAGTATATTCTTACCAAGTTGGCCAAAACATCTACAAGAAAAACAAAACGCGGCGTCTTTAGCGACCGAATATTCTAGCCAAGAATATTCTTCGTACCATTTCTTCTGAAACTTAAAGTTTCTTCCCCCTATTGGCGATGGTGGAAAGTCTATGGCGGGTCTCACCGGTCCAGACTCAAGAATAAAGGCTCTATTTGCCTCACACACGTTTTCATTCGATGGATCTCTCCCTTCAAACATATTTATTCTCTATATACTTTCGTAACTTGTTCACTTGCGTGCCGACGAGCTAATAAGCATATGTTGCGCTAGCCAAGGAGACCTACATAAATCAACACTTTCGGGAGAACAATTTCCGACACGCTTAATTGCAGAATAACTTATTAAATTTGGATAATATACGATTCAATCAATCATTGCTTTATCTTGTGCAAAAAAACGCCTGAAGCAGCTCTAAAGTTCAAGAGGTCGTTAAGGTATATAATTAAAAATGCCACAACCTTGTGTCTCTTGTTTCGTATAAAATATTGCTAATATATAAATAAAACCACAACATTGCCCCCCCCCCATATTTCTCATCGGTTATGAGCGAATTGGAAAATTGATTTGGAGGTGGACTGGGGGGGACATGTCCCCCCCAGTCCTCCCCGTGGCGCCGCCTCTGATACTACGTGTATGGTATGTTAATTTATATTGTGAATAAAGGTGAAAACGTGCTTTGGAACATTGTATTAGCGTATTCGGGTGCCAGTAGATTTTCGATATAAACGAAACATAATACTCTTGTCACCTGCGGTGAAAATTTTTGACGCATTGCATGTTGGAGTTGGTGTCAGGTTATACCATTCCACGTGTTGGCTGCGTAAATTTTGGCGAATTTATTTCGGCCAAATCAGTGAAATGCATATGAGATATTTCGAGTCACAACGAAATAAATCGTTATGTAGTAGCCAAATTAAAAAGTTTCAAACCAACATTTCAAATTATCAGTCGCGATTATTGCATATTCCAACATTGCAGCTTTGTGCGTTTATTTATTATAATAAGGAGGGGGGAAGAGGATGTCTTAAAAACACTCCGAAATCTTAATCGCACCGTAAAATATCATCTAAAATCAATATGTGCATGGATCACTCGCACTATTCAGTACCAATATTCATTAAGAAGTATATAATCAACAATATCTAAATTCCAAATTCAAGTAGCAAAGAGATAAATTTTTGAGCCACACTACTATATACCTGGAAAATTTAACTCCAAAGGGTTTTTATATGAGCGAACAAACTACGCCATAAGTAAATAGCAACCAAAATAGCAAACAATGGGATCATGCAGGGATTATATGAAATATTTCAGTAAAGATTCAACTAGGACCCTTCGCACGAGAATTCCTCAAACAGCCTTTAGCCTTCCCATAGGAATAAGATTAGCAACCCGAACACTAACATCATGTTTTCTGACAGCAAAACCTAGGCAGGGTAACCTAGTATATATGCACATGTTGACATCAGTACTATCGTATATATGATAATTATTAGTCTTTAAAAACGAAAGTTAACATTATCTATCTTATTGAAGTATATATTCCGTGTATGACAAATACAAGACTTCACGCTAATAACAAGAAGTTAATGTATACTAACGTCAACGACATTCGTAAAAAAAATTAGGAGCGATTCATGAATTTGTCAAATTTAGGAATATTATAGAGTTATTGATTTGCTTTGTTTTATAATTTGTCGTATGTGAAAATGCTAAATATCTTAATATATATATATATATATATATATATATATATATATATATATATATATATATATATATATATATATATATATATATATTAATATATATATATCTACTATATACCTGGAAAATTTAACTCCAAAGGGTTTTTATATGAGCGAACAAACTACGCCATAAGTAAATAGCAACCAAAATAGCAAACAATGGGATCATGCAGGGATTATATGAAATATTTCAGTAAAGATTCAACTAGGACCCTTCGCACGAGAATTCCTCAAACAGCCTTTAGCCTTCCCATAGGAATAAGATTAGCAACCCGAACACTAACATCATGTTTTCTGACAGCAAAACCTAGGCAGGGTAACCTAGTATATATGCACATGTTGACATCAGTACTATCGTATATATGATAATTATTAGTCTTTAAAAACGAAAGTTAACATTATCTATCTTATTGAAGTATATATTCCGTGTATGACAAATACAAGACTTCACGCTAATAACAAGAAGTTAATGTATACTAACGTCAACGACATTCGTAAAAAAAATTAGGAGCGATTCATGAATTTGTCAAATTTAGGAATATTATAGAGTTATTGATTTGCTTTGTTTTATAATTTGTCGTATGTGAAAATGCTAAATATCTTAATATATATATATATATATATATATATATATATATATATATATATATATATTAATATATATATATATATATATATATATATATATATTATATATTATATATTATATATATATATATATATATATATATAATATATATATATATATATATATATATATATATATATATATATATATATACATATTAAGACCCCAGTGATCGAAAATAGATTCAGATATACATATGAGTAAAATATGTAACAAAAAAGGGATATTCGAACTGAACAGTATACATACCATACCATAAAAGTATATTTATTCTCTTAAAGAGAACTGTATTCCAATTATAGTAAAACAAGTGTGTAATGATAGATTAATCCAAATTGTTGTAAACATATAATATATACGAGTGACTCTGTAAGCTTCCTAAAGTTGTATGCTGTGCTTCTGACTCAAGATAGAGAGATGGCAACATTGAGAAACTTAACTTCAACAATTACAGCAATATTTCGCATTGACTACTAAAAACCTTTTCTTTCTTTCAATAGAGAGTTTTCAACAGTGGAGCTCGTGGCAAGATTTATTCATCAAGAAACAGCTACACCCCCGTGTGCTAATTTACAAATTCTAAGCGGGAAGAGTATATTCTTTTTACTCTTATTCATCTTATATTTCTTGAAAAAACTTTGGGAAATAAAGACGATTATTTCTATCAAATCCTATGTTCGTGCTTTCGCGACACTTTCTATGCAGCACAACCGCACTTATGTATGCAGCACAGTGTAATTTCCGTGCATTGGAGGTGGCCCTTATCGACCACCGTAATTTGTAAATAACTAATTCATTCGCACTGAAGATAGTTTATAGTTTAGCCGGAACATGTCGAATGCTTAATATATACTAATATTTGAAAAGTGAAATGCTCATTCGCACCCATGACTCGATTGGATGCGGCGCTCTTTGAAGAGCGTTTGTGACAAAGTTTGGTCTCCAAAGAGTTGTGGTGCACAGCTCGAAATCTTTGGACAATTCTCCGATGCGCATTTGATTTCGCTCGCATACGGTAATCATATTCGCATGATACGGAACAAATAAACCGTTCTTTTGATGCTTTATGTTCGATTGTGTAAATTTAATTGGGGTAAGAATATATTTAATACATGTAGATTCAGGTCCTATTGTAATAATATCGATGCTATATATATATATATATATTATTTATATATATATATATATATATATATATATATATATATATATATATATATCATGCGATTTATTAACATTTTTGAACTTCTATACTTTTTAAAGTACGTTATGCATGCTTCTGAATGTCGAACAACATTTAGATTCGCAAAGCATCTAAATGAGTATGAACAGTATTGTTCATGTTCAGAAGCTTTATACTGAAGACTGGCACGTGCGCGGCACACCGAAGTTAATTCCAGCCTGTGTTAACGCCATGCAAAACTGGCATCTTGTTAGTTGTTATTAAAAGAAAAACTAAAAAGATGAAGAATCACGATAGTTTACCCATTTGACACGTGCAGCTTTGCTTTTCAGACTTTGTTCCTAATACGTACTTTTCGAGTTAGTCGTCCCTTCTGGTTTCGTTGCTTTCACGATTACAATATAGAAATCCAGTAATATTATCTTCTTCAATGCACCGACGAAAGAAAACAATCTACTAAAATCCTTATACTAAAACGTTCACTGCTTATATGCTCTCCGAGAGGTATTCTTAGAACATTATCTCGTTGCCATCTTTAGACATTACATAACAGTTGCTGTACAAGCATGACTCAGCTCAACTGGGCTACATAATACCTCGTTGCCATCTTTAGACATTACATAACAGTTGCTGTACAAGCGTGACTCAGCTCAACGGGGCTACATACTTCCAGGAATTCTTGCATTTATTATAAATTATAGCCCAGTGTTCACCACAAGTTAAAAACAAGACGCCTGTTCTCGCTTTAACTCCGGCGTGTCGCGCACGTGCCAGTCTTCAATATAAAGCTCGGCTCAACATAAACAATACAGTTCATACTCATTTAGATGCCTTGCAAATCTAAATGTTGTTCGATCGCGACATTCAGAAGCATATCTTACTTTGAAAAGTATAGAAGTTCAATTGTTCGAAAATGTAAATAAACCGCATCATACGTTCACTTTGTCTTACACTTTGGATTTCGCTCTTATATTAAATGTTCAATCCTGTGCAAACTGCGACGTGTTAACGCGCCCATACACGACCACATCTTGTTATACGGCGAAATAGGAGCGATATTATTAAAATAGGACCGGAATTTACGTGTATTCAATATATTCCTACCCCAATTAAATATAAACTTAATCGAACAGCGTCAAAAGAACGGTTTATTTGGTTACCCACGAGTAGAAATGCTGCCTAGAAACATGATGTCAGTTTTCGGTTTCCCAATCTTGCTCCTACGGGAATTCTCTACAAAGGTTGTTTAGAGATTCCTCTACGAAGGGTCCTGAAAGGCTGTTTAGCTGAAACTAATTCCTAGTTGAATATTCAAATATTTTATTCAATCGCTGATCCCAGTGTTTGCCATTTTGGTTGCTGTTTACTTATGGAATAGTTTTTCCGTTGATCTATAAACCATCAATTTCGAGTAATTTCGAGTAATTTACCTTGGAGTATTGTAGTGTTGCTCAAGATTTATCTCTTTGCTAATCGACTTTAGATTTTAGATAATTGTATATTATATTTTTCTTAATGGGTTTGGAAAGGGGTCGACAGCCAATTGCGTAAGTGAAAGGAACTACATTTGAAGATTTTACGATTAAAATCTCGGACGGTTTTCAAAACATGTTCATCCACCCGGCATCATAATGGAGTATGCAATGGATAATTTTCAATATTGCTTTAAAACCTTCTAATTCGGCAACTAGTCTTTATTGAATTTATTATGTTGTGACCGAATACCTTCGCAGCTAAAGTAAATATCTCATTTCATCTGGCCCATGCTTTTCGTAAGAGTACGCGTGAATTAAGCATGATCCCTTCGTTCTGACGAACATTTCGATATTACATTTACGTGGTTTAATCATAGAAAACGTATGGCAAAAATCTATTATAAGTTGCCAATAATCAGCTGGCCAACGTATCAAAATCATTGGCACAAAGGACCATTATATATTAATTGAATTTACAACACAAGTGATTTGCTGCCCTCAGAAACATAATCAGGCAAAAGAAATATAGCGAACTGTAATGTTTCTTATCTGATCATCAAGATAAAATTAATTTAGTTTTTCTCTAAGGTCAGCAAATGAATTAATCTTTTACTCACAACACATTTTTTTCACAACACTAGACAACGGACGACAGGAATTACATTTAATACATGCACAGTTATTAAGGTTTGTGGAACATCATAAACATACACTAGTTCTGCCATCTAATGATAATCCCCAAGTAGGCGCAGAGCGTCGTACGAGGGTACTAATTCCGCCCGGAGATTAGGAATTACACCCGGTATTGTGACAGAACATAGCGGAATCCAAAGTTGTCCAAATTCTATGTCATGGACTGTGGACGTTGAATGGTCATGGCACTTTTGCGCACGCGCAAAATTTGAATAAGTAAGGTCCAGTGAACTCTGTATAATATGGAGTAGTAACTTGGTTGCTAAAAGTGAAGCCAAAGATGGCGGAAATCGGAAGGAGCTATTGGAGGACACCCAATCCTCCTACGTGCGCGGTCAAATATTTTCTCATTCTTTTGACCGCGTTTGATGGCTCGCAACCTCAAATTCTTTTTTGCTTTTCTTCATTTAAAGAATAAGAATGAAAAAAATTGTTTTTTATAGCAATCTGTTTCTCTGCATCTATACCTTATCTGAATACTGTATTTTCCCACTACAGTGTGAGTAAATATGAATTTTTGGCTGTGAGTGCAAGTACGCTTCAACCTTTTGCTTTGCCTTTCGAGTAAATATTGTGTTTTACCTTGTAATTTTGACACAGTTTTAAGACACTGATAGTCATCAGCCCTAGCATGGGGCAGTTTCTAAAGATTCTTTTCCTGCATGAAACGTTGGTATAAAAATGCCGCATTTTCAGTTGTATTTTGAATCTCGTGATTTTTTGGATAATTTCTTTGCAAGTTATTGTTTTTATTAAAGACAGCTTAATGCACATATTTTCTCTTAAAAACTTAAATAAGGTAATATTTTATTTGTATGTTTTGAGTGTATTCTTTTATTTGAGAGAACGTCAACAACCCTCACTCATTTCTCTTGAGATGTTGCTCCCTTTTAGAAAATTCATAAGTAAAACCTAAAAACATCCTAACAAAGAGCATCAGCATTTAAATATCAAAAAATAGCAAAAAAACATGAATTCAATTTGACCGTGCACGTAGGAAACCTTGGGTGTCCTCCAATAGTTCCTTAAATTTCCGTCATCTTTGGCTTCACTTGAACATTAGTCAAATGAGGGAAGTTACTTCTCCATATATATACATACATATATATATATATATATATATATATATATATATATATATATATAATAACATTATATATATATTATATATATATATACATATATCTATATATATATATATATATATATATATATATATATATATATATATATATAAGAATTATAAATACAATTCTTTTAATTAGTTGCTACTTTAAGTTTCATGCACTTAAGCAATCATCAGGCAACGTATTAGTACGTTGCCTGATGATTGCTTAAGTGCATGAAACTTAAAGTAGCAACTAATTAAAAGAATTGTATTTATAATTGTTATAACACGCTCTGCATTCTATGTATTGAGCACTCTGTGTTCTACAAAAGTCTATTTGGAATAGATTTATATATATATATATTATATTATATAATATATTATATATATATATATATATATATTTATAGTGGATCTAGGAAAGGTTGTCCGAAAATATATACATATATACAAATAGTTGTGACATGGGACAACATATTTCCATCACGTGTCATACCTAATTACGCATGCAACACTGAGCTATATAATAATTCCTGGAGGACCGGCTCCTGTCAAAAAAGTGAAGCCACTAAGATGGCGGATTTTGAGCTTTGCTGACGCCACTTGGTTCCTTTTGCTCATGGTAGTTACCACTGACATACCGCGATACAAGGTGAAAAACTGTGTCCATCTCCCTCCTGGTTTTTATGAAAATATTTTCGGCTTTCGGTATATATTTTTTTGTTTTGCGTTTCTCTTTTTCCCTGTTCAACAAATGGAAAGGACACGTAACTTCGTGCTGTGCGTTTGACGTTGTGAATGGCTTAATTCACTTATCGGTAGAGTGAATTTTCTCATTTTGCCCTTATTTTATAAAATCCAGGTAAGCCGTTTTTCAACTTTTTTTACTATAAACAATTTCGTTTTTGGCCTTCGAGTTTGGACTATAGTATAAACTGATTACCAAAGCCTCTGAGACAATAAATCCATCAAAACGTGTGGTACAAACAGCCTTTGGTACATTACAGTGCTGTCAATGCAATGTTATATACCCAAATTTTATCATTTTTTCTTAACTTGTGTCGGGGGAAAGTTAAAATTCCTGGCAGTGTCAATCTTTTGAGTTTGGTCTATGTTGTTTTCATGATAGCAAACATCAATGTTAATAGGAAAACCATTCCCCCCAGTGAGTCTACTATAGTCACTCTTCTATTGATCCCACCCAACATCAATTAACATGATCTGAGGGTGCTGATACAAAATAATAAGTTGCTGTAAACAGTGTAAAACTCCAACCTCTGATAGTGAGCCCTGTTAAAGCCTAGTTATTATATTATCTTGTTTACCTTGTCAAATCCAAAGTAAAATGATCAATTATCACAGCTCTTAATTTATTTTTTAGCTTCTTGCACCTTGTGAATAAATCTTGATCATATCTCCATTTTTATTTTTCAGGATGAAGTTCATGCATTTTATGACTGTGCATTGTTATTCTTCATTTCCATGTTATCTGATTTTGTTGTCGGCTGGTGTTTTTATACCATTTGTCATATTTATTAATTAATGAAATAAATATAAACATGCATTGACTGAGCAGTGTGTCTTCAATCTGCAGCAACTTTTGTAATTTTCTGTGTATGGTATCAACCTCCAAAGGGGTTATATTCATTAGGCTAATCAGTACGTGGAGCCTATGGAGGGATAAATGTTACTATTTACTATGACCAAGGGTCCAGGGATGCAATTAGAGAATGCTGAAAACTTTTAAAGCCTATTAAGGTTATTTGGGTACAAGTTGATGACTTGAATGAAAAGTATATTATGCAAATATGATTCTTGGTTGAAACTATATTGCTGCACTAAGTATTAGTCAGCTGCCCAGCATTTTGCCTGAGCTTTGGCTTCTGTTTCTTTGGATTTTGTATTGTGCATAGATATAAAGTCTTGAAGACAACATCACATACTGAATACTGATTACATACTTCCTGCAATTCATCAGTTCAGGGTTTAGAAAAGTCAAATTGTTGGCCATAAATTCCTAGTTGTCTTCAAAATATGCGAGGATAGTGCCAAAACATTCAAACATTTGTAAACTCTCATATTGGAATGTATAAATAACAAAAATATTATTACGAAAATAAAATAAGAAACCTGTCAGTTCGTGTCAGTATCAAAATCTTTAGTTT